AGCCCAATCTCTTTATTTTACAGAGAAGGAAACTGAGACCCATGGAAGTGACTTGCCCAAGGTCACACAGGTAGTTAAGTAAGAGAGTCAGAATTCAAACCCAGATCCTTCTATTTCAAATCTAGCCCTCACTGTCACTATAGCTGATGGACTCAGATTGTTTTGCATGACAATACATATTTGTTACAGTATGTTTGTCTTTTGTTTCCTTTTTTTTTTAAGTGGGCTGGGGTGGGAGGGATAGAAACTAGGTTCCTGTTAATTAAATCAAACACTTAAAATTGAGAATTTGGGAGGTGGCTACAGGTCTGGAACATTACACACACTTTCTGGTGAGGTAACTATATTGCTTATTTTACATAGTTGTTTTAATTTGAGAGAGTTCTCATGGGGTGGGGACCACCTAGAAATGTTTGTAACATTAAAAACAAATGTGTCAATAAAACTTTTTTTTTAAAATTGAAAACAATAAAAAATAAGCAAAGCATTTTTGAGCTACTAGAGAAGGGACCTTGGTGTTTATTTAACCTAACCCTCTCACAGCAAAATTACTAGGGATCATGAGTATGGCTGGAAGGGGCCTTCAGGTCCATCTGGTTCAATGTCTTCATTTTGCAGGGGAAGAAACTGAGCTTCAGAAGGATTCAATGGGTCCCATTTGAGCTTTGTGACACCTCTAAAAGGAGGTGATCTGGGTATTTTTTTCTTTTTCTTTTTTTGGTCTGGATCTAGGATTTCATCAGCGTAGCGTGTACCAAGGAAGGAAACTAAATCCTCCATAGGTTATGGTCTCAGAGAGTCATCTAGAACACTGAGAGGGGATGACTCATCTAAGGTGACACAGATAATTTGAGTAAAAAGCAGGACTTGAACCTAGGTCTTCCTAATTTGGACTCAGGACCTCCACATTGGTGGTGCTATAGTGCACAGAGCACTGGGCCTGGAGGGAGGAAGACTTGAGTTCAAATCCAGCCTCAGACACTGACTAGCTGTGTGATCCTCGGCAAGTCACTTAACCTGTTTACCTCAGTTTCCTCATGTGAGAGATGAGTCTCAGAAGTGAAGCCTCCTCAGGGAACCAATGGTTCTTGTTAATAGTTCTTGACTATTGCTTTTAAAACCCTCCCCCTCTCAGACCCTGTTTTTAAAGCTTAGCAGAAAGACTAGCCCTGCCCCCAGCCTGAACTGCTTGCCCTTGAAAAGCTTCTCACCTTTTCTTGTCTCTGGGCAAATTTGTGTCTCCGTGTATAGATTGTACCCCTTGAAAGCCCAGCCAGTGGGATAAGGGGAAGGGGGTTAGGGAGGAGGAACTCGAGTTAGGGCATAAATGAGCCTTGATTTCCATACCAAACTCGTACTCTCCTGGCCCAAGATGGTGACTAAGAGGGTACCCTTTCTCATGAGAAAGCAATAAACTCCTTTCTACTTTCAAGGTATCTAAGTCTTTGCTTTAATTTTTAGTAAGTGGTCTCTGTCCCACACACTCATCTGTAAAATGAGCTGGAGAAGGAAATGGTAAACCATTCCAGTTATCTTTGCCAAGAAAACCCCAGATGGGGTCATGAAGAGTCAGACAGGATGGAAAAACAACTGAACAACAACTTGGAGACATAAATATGCCAACCCATCCCTTTCCTGTCCTGCATACTTAGCTTATAAGCTGCTATGGTAAAATACATATATATATATATATATATATATAATATTAATATATTTATAATTATATATATGTATGTATGTGTATATATATATATATGAATAAAAATAAAGCTTCTCACAGAACTGGATGAGAACCCAGGGTCACTTCTGCTGCCATGAAATGGTGCTGAGGTTGGGTAGGATGGGGTCTGGATGTCTGTTTCTTTCTGGTGGAGAAGAGGACAGTGACCAGGCTCCTTGGTGGGGAGGCCCTGGCCTCCTAGTGGATGGCTGGAGGAGATGGTCTGTATCATTTCTGAATGTAATGGGGTAAATAACTAATTGATGAATCAAAAAGCATTTATTAACTAGGCACTGCTAAGCTCTGGGGACACAAAGAAAAAGCACAGACAGTCCCTGCCCTCATGGAGCTTATACTCTATCATCTTCCCTGTTATTCTTTTTAGTTTCCTAAAACTGCTCTTTTCAAGATTTGTTTTTCAGGAGGGCCCTCCACTGAGTGTTCCAGGTTTGGGGAGCAAAGCCACATCTTTCTTTTTCATACCTTTTACAATTTTGTAAAAAGCAATTATATCTTTTTTCTTAGCTTTCCTCCTTGCAGATAGAAAAAATTTACATTTTCTTTACCTTCTTTCATTGGGCCCCCATAAGAGTGTGGATGATTATGGGCCCTTCAAAATCCTGCCAGCCTAGTGCCCAATCTCTGAAGATGGTCTCAGGAATGGACTGTCCATCTATAGCCTAAGAACAACCCAGCTGAAGCCCACCATTGGCCCACAGGTAAATATTTGGTGAAGAATGACATTTTTTCTCTGTCTTTTTGGGGACCCTTGCTTATGTCTTGGGCTGGCATCATCTTCAGCTCTGTAGAGCCTTGGCTAATCTATTCTAGCGTCTCCAGAATCAGGGATTTCCTGCTCTTTTTACCTAGAGTTTTAGCTTGAGGTGCAGGAACCCAGAGGTCTTCTTCTATAGATTCTTTTTATGGTGTTACTTTCAGAAAGTCAGCTCTGGACACATTGGAGGGGATTCTCCTTGAGCTGGACCCAGCTGCAGAATCCCATCCTCAGACTTTGTTCTCATTCTGCCCTTCTTTTCTCCCTCAGCCTTTGGCATGGGGTGGTTGACCAACCCAAGGCATGATGACCTTCAGGCCTCTCTTCAGGTGAAATGGGCTCCCCATGTCTTTTGTCTACTTTTCCTCTTTGCCTACTTTTTTTTCTTTTCCTTTTGGCCAGTTTATTAGGAATTTGGCAGTTTTTTTGTAAGGTGCCTCAGAAGGAATGCCCATATTTTCCATGGGGTGATCCATGGGCATTCCAGTACGACCTATGTGTACTCTGCAATAATAGCCATGATTACTGTAAAGTAATATAGTATCCTGAACAATTCCATTGATTTCTTCTGTCAAATTCTTGATCATAAGGTCTACTGATGAAAGAACTTGCTTTAAGTCTAGAAATGATTTATAATATTTGTAAAGTCCTTAGAGCAGTGACTGGAAAATAGGAGGCACCTAATAGATGCTTATTCCCTTCCTCTTCTCCCTTGTGTAGGAAGGCAAAAGTTGCCTATTCCTTTGATCAGCAAAGAAAAGGTCGAATCTATCCAAAAGGGGCCCATTAGCTTCGGGGCGTTCCTATTCACATTTGAATGTTGCGTAGGAGGTGACCTGGGCAATGCTTTTAAAGCCATTCTGGCTCAAAAGCTGCTTATAGAATTGTTTTTCTCTCTGTTCAGGAAGTCAAACTGGGTTCATCCTAGGTAAATAAGCAAACTTCCATTGCAGCAGGTCTAAAACCCTTTAGCAAAAGTACTCTGTTTGCTTTTTCATTTTTTATTTCCTGGAATTTTCCATAATGTCACCATTAAAAACACATTCTCATTGTTATTTCAAAGTGATTCATTAGCATTTAAGCCTTTGTTGCTTTTCTAACCAGTCAAGGCTCCTGCTTCTTTTGGGCTGAGCTGCCATATCCCTCCTGCCTGTGGCCCCCAGCACTGTACAAATGTTGTTTTTTATCTTTTAGGTTTGTATTTCAGCCTAGAGGAGAGAGTGGGGAACTCCTGGGGTTCAAATCCTGTCTCAGACCTTAGGTGAGTCACAGTCTCCTGAGCCTCAGACAATTCCCTAGACTTAGCAGTGTCTGCTAGTCCTTATCACCCATAGCTAAGACGTCCCACTTCCTTCCTACTCAAGACTTCTTGAACTGAAGTATTTGTCACTGTATCTGGTCCGATTGGGCTTCCTGCTCTCAATACTATGTTCTCTTGGGGGCCTCATCATAGCTGCCTGAGTTCTAGCCTTGAGCCAGAAGCCTGGACAGGAGGGATAACTCTCTGAAAGCTTTCAGGGTCCCACCCCACTCCCAACCTAAGTATTCAAACACCTCTTAGAAGAAAAAAAGTGATATAACTGCCCGTGGCCTGATCATAACAACCCATTCGCAGGCCTCAGGCTTCATCTGCTTCTCAGGTGCATTCCACATGGCCTTGGACTTCTCCTCAGGCTGCTGACTGACTCCCTGGGCCTTGGTCCACTTTCTGTGCTGCCCTCTTCTCTCCCTGGATGCTCTTTCTGGGAACCAAAACATCTTTTCTAGAATTTGTTCAAAGTCCTCTAGATTCACCCATCAAAAAGCAAAGTTGTTAAAAAATGCCCTGCCCTGTAAAATGGCCCACTCCTGGGCTTCACAGAGTTTAGTGCTAGAAGGGATCATTTAATCTGACCCTTTTCTTTTGGACAGGTCATCTTTTGGGGGATTCTCACCCATGTCTTGGGCTGGCATCATCTTCAGCTCTGTAGAGCCTTGGCTAATCCATTCTAGAGTCTCCAGAATTGGGGATTTCCTGCCCTTTGCACCAAGAGTTTTAGCTTGAGGTGGTCTTGATTACATTCTGTAATTGGAATGTGTGGTGAGGGGAGTGTTGGGTATGCACTCGGCTGAGACATTAGCTGGGCATGTCTGGGGCTGACCTCGATATAGTGGGCCAGGTGAGGCAATCCCAATCACAACAGTGAGGACCCAGGATGAGAGTTCTAGAACTGAGAAGTTTGGGTTTTCTAGGCCAGGTCTTTGGTGCCATCTTGACTGCAAGATGGCCAGAGAGGGGAAACATGGCCAGGGAGGTAAATGAGAAGGCTGGACTGAAAGCTCTAAAATCTCTTTCCACCCTGGAATTCTATGATTTTAGGTTCATTCACCCAGACAAATCACAATTCACAGCTGCCGATGGAGGGGCAGGGGGAGGGTAGAGGAAGAAAGCATTTATTAAGCACCTACTATGTGCCAGGCACTGTGCTAAGTACTTTACAAATATTATCTCATTTATTCCTCACAATAACCCTGTGAGGTAGATATTATTATCACCCTCATTTTACAGATGGGGAAACCGAGGCAGACAGAAATTAAGCAACTTATCCAGGGTTACAGAACTAATAAGGGCCTGAGGCTAGATTTGAGCTCAGGTCTTCCTGCCTCCAGGAGGAGTGCTCTATCGATTGCACCATGTAGTTGCTTGCCACTAAGCCATAGAAGACTGCAAGGAGATTGAGATTTGAAGATTCTCCATCAGCCCTGTGAAATCTTCTCCTTGAGAAAACTCCATCTTCCCGGGGCTTTTTGTACATGATATCCTCCTCTGGTGTGAAGTTGTGTCCTGCTCAGTGAGTAGAGGGTTTCTACTTAGTATAGTTTAACATACATCCCTAATCTCTAGATAGGGGAGCCCCGAAACTACTTCCTGCAATTCTTGTTACTGGCTAAAAGAGTGACTTTTGCAGATAACATCCACACTGGGCCCTTGCTGATGTCAGGTATCTAATCACAGTCCCTGTCTTCAGAGACTTTGCATTTCTCAGAAGAAACAGCGTGCATGCATAAAAATAACTACAAAATAAAAGCCAAGTAAATACAAAGCAATCTGAAAGGATATGGAAGCAGTAGCAGCTAGGTGGGTGGGTGGGTGGAAGGAACCAGGACAGACTTCCTGTAGGAGATGGCATTGGAGGGGAGCTTTGAAAGCAGCTAGTGGCGAGGGTTGGGAGGAAGTACATGTCAGGTGGCTTGGTTGTTGTCCTTCACTCTAGAACAGGTCCAGTCCTTTAGAAGGCTGCTTGATGAGATGGAGGCATCACTTGGCCAAGCTGATCAATCCCCCTACTGATCATTTCAGGCTCCTTCAGGAAAACTTTAAGTGGGAAAGAAAATGAAACCCATAAACTGGTATTGATAGTGGATGGAAGGATGTTGCCATATTTCCCATTGTTTCATATACGGGGAATCAGAACAATTCAGTGTTTGTGTCCAAACATTTCATTGCACAGCCCAGATGACTCACAGTTCCACTTACAGATGAATTTTAATGGAGACTCACAGTTTAAATCATTCCATGATTTGAGCGCTTTCCTCGAGAAATGGACACAATGCTCATTGTTTTTATCATTGTTTGGCTCCCCTGTTACCCAAAACCTAGAGAGAGAGAGAGAGAGAGAGAGAGAGAGAGAGAGAGAGAGAGAGAGAGAGAGAGATTTGTAGTTATACACCAAAACTCAATAGAAAACTTCCTCCTTTGTGTCTGGGTCCAGCCCTGGAGCCTAGCAGCTTCAAGATGGCCTGGCCTCAGGTGTTATCCCAGTATGGCTTCTCAAAAGGGCCCTGAATGCCCAACTCACAGCCAGGGCCTGGGAAGTCAGTGGCACAGGAGACCTCTAGGGACGTTCTCCCTCTAGTCTTCTAAATTCTTCCAGAGACATCCTAAGTGGCCCCATGTTCCCCCCACCCCTTGTCAGGGCCTTTATGAGTACCTGAAGAAGTCCATCAAACTCAGAGCTCCTGTCTTATTTTTACCTCAGTGTTTCTTGAGGCCAGAAGAGGTTCACACGTATGTGGATGCAGACAGAACATATATGTCCACAGAGAGCAGAGACATACAGAATAGTAGCAGGGGACAGATAGAGTTCCTTCCTCTGACTTGGCCCTCAGCCTGGGCTTCCCCTGGAGAAAACTCCCAGAGTTTCCAAAGGGCCATTGGCAGATGGAAGGCCCAGGGGAGACAGGGGAGGCTGGACTCACTCTTTGGTCTTGGCCTCATCATACAAGGTCCCATCAGTCCAGTGGAATGTCATCTTATCTTCTCTTCTATTCAGGCCATTCCAGTACTGGAAACCATTAGCTTTATTGTACAGAAATCTCTAGAAATTGAGATGAGAGGGCTTTTAAGGAGGCATATTTGGATATCTGAGCACATATGTGCACCTAATTGTTGATTGTGTATGTTTGTGAGTATTATCTGTGTGTGTGTGTGTGTGTGTGTGTGTGTGTGTGTGTGTGTGTGTATGTGTTTCAAACACAAATCTGACCAAACCATTTCCCTGGTCAATAAATTTCAATAGCTCTCTTGTACCTCTAGGATCAAACACAGACTCTGGGACCTCAAGCAAGTCACTTAACTTTCCTGGGACTCAGTTTCCTCATCTGTAAGATATAGATAAGATGCCACCACCCCCTCTGTTTATTCTTATCTGTCCTGGGGGCAGATGGTTGGGTTCAAACATCCTTCACATCCTTTGCCCAGTGATTCACAAGATCAGTCTCAAAGACTTGAGGGACCATGTAGCCTGAAAATGCATCCCCTCTACAAGACTTTTGACAGACAAGTGGTCTTCCAGGCTCTGCCCCCTCTTTCCCAAGGCAGCCCATTCCAATGTGGGGCAGCTCTCATCATCAGGAACTCTCTCCTACCTTAAGCCTAAGTTGGTCTCTCCGAAACTTCTCTGTGTGACTCTTGGTTTTCCCCTCTAGTGCCAAGTGGAATAAGGATCCCTCTTTCCCCTTTCAAATACTTGCAGAAAGCCTTTACATCACTTTGAGTCTCTTCCACATTAAATAATCCCTCTTCCTTCAGCAGATCCTTACATGGCATGAATCCTAGGTCCCTCACCTTTCCAATCATGCCCCAGCTTATTACCTTCTTAAACTGAGATGCCCAAAATGGAATCTAGTATTCCACATGTGGTCTGACCAGGATAGAGGACAGTGAGGGACAGTATCATCTCCCTAGTTTTGGACATTTGCCTCTATATGTGCTATCAATAATCCCTGTATTTTGATGAACTGTATGTGAGACTGCGTCTCTGACCTGGGGTCAGGAAGACCTGAGTTCAAACCCTACCTCAGATACCATTTAGCTGTATAACCATGGGAAGGTCATTTAACCTCTGTCCGCCTTCCTCATCTGTAATGGGATAAAAATAACACATATCTTCCAGGGGTGATGTGAGGATAAAATGACATAAAAGCTTACAAATGATAACCATTATTATTACTAATGAACCTAAGATTTGGCTAGTACAAAAGTGAAGTTGTTTGCTCATGGACACAACTTACTGAGATCTCTGCCTCCTGTTCTTAGCCCCCCCCATCCCCAATGGCACTGACCTGTTCATCCTCTGAGGTCACTGAGGTCAGGTGAGAGCCTTTTGATATACAGCTCAGCTCGGCATCAACCCAGGGCTTTTCAGTACAGGAAAAGTAGTAGAGACTTCCCTTGTAGACAGTGTAAATCTCTGAGAGTCGCTGCCTTAGGATTTCTTGGGAAGAAAAGAGGAGTCAAAATGAGGCAGGAACAGGGCATATTTCAGCCCCAACTTCTAGCTTGAAGAGGTTTGGGCACAGGGGATTGACCAAAGCTTGGTGTGTGAGAGCTGGAGCCTGGTCAGAGCTCCCTTGACTTCTCCCTGGCAGAGAGAGGGCATTGGGTACCTTAGGGAGGAGGAGCAACCTAGCCAGAATGAGGGATGGTCATGAAGCCCCCCAGCACAGGGATCTGGCAGACATCCCTCTGGGAGACCTGGAGTGGGTGTGAGGGTCAGTGTCAAGGGTGGACATGTGAGGGACTCACCATTTTGGCCCCTTAGGGCTGCGATGGAGGCATTGACTTTCTCCAAACGAGCTTTCCACAGGTGTACGTCTGAAATCATGTCAGTAGTTTTCACTTGGAGATCTGGAACCAAAGGATTAGGGAATTAAAGAGAAGCTCATGTGTCAGCTCAGCTCTGATATTGCATGGCTTCTATGACACTATTTATTTCATTTGCATTTCACAAGGACTGAGGAAGCTGGGGATTACGGCTATTATGATACCTATGGTACAGATGACGATTCTAAGGTTAAGTGGTTTGCCCAGAGACACACAACTAAAAAAAAAAAAAGCATCAAATGCAGGATTTGAATCAAGGTCCTCCCACCTCCAAGGCCAATGTTCTTTCCACTGTTCTAGGGGCTATGGTTAGGTTTTGGTGATGCCTGCTTGGCACAAGTCCATACAATGCCTCCTGCACTCCCTGGTGGTCTCTGCTTTGAGCTCCTGTGTCCAGATAAAACTCTTCCTCTTCCTTTAGTGTGAAATTCTCTGGGGATGACCCTGCTCCTCTCCCCCTCCCCCACCTCCCAGGCTTAGTAGCTAGGCTGGCATCTGGTTAGGAGACACACTGTCCTTCATCTAGCCCCCACTCAAGGTCCTACCAGATTGGAAGCCCTTGCCCAGATAGTGCTGTGTGGACACAGCCTGGGGGGACTTTGGTTCAACTCTAGGCTGCTATGAAACATTGCAGGAAAACTTCTCATCTATTCTAGATCAATGTTTCTTATTGGTATCAAGACCCCTTTGTGCTCTTAAAATCGTTGGGGACCCCAAAGAGTTTTTGTATATCCAGTAGGGTGCTGAAAAATGTTTAACAAGTGGCTTTCTGGGAAAAAAATATATATGTGATACACATTTAAGTTTAATCTCCATTATTAACCTTTTCACTATCACTTTCTTAAGTCTAGACAACTAACAAAACAATAAAGTAGCCCTCATTTGTAGCATTTGCTGATTTTCAGATATTGATGCTTACAGTGAAAATTTAACAGCTGGCTTTCTCCAGCCTAAATGAGCTGGTTCCAGCACACTCTTGAATATGTCTGTCAATATTTACTATTTGAGAAATCAAAACATCTTAGTATTATCATGAAAATTGTTTTTACCTTACAAACCATACTTTGAAAACTGTTGTTCTAGGCCAGGAGTGGGGAACCTTCACTCGAGGCCGCAGGTTCCCGAACCCCTGTCTAGACTGATGAATGGGTGCCCAAGGATATTGGTTACAGATAACAGCTTCAGATTCAGGAAGTCTTGGGCTCCCGCCTTGCCTCTGACATATCCTGATGTTGTGACCTTGGACAAGTCCCTTATACTTAATTTTGCTGGGCCACAGGGCCAAGGAGGGTGGAAGATCTAGAGCTGGGATGACCCCAGAGGCTATCTGGTCCAGCCCCCTCTAGGCATAAGCTTTTGTCTTTCATCTTCAGTATATGTAGAAACGCAAATTGAAAAACTGAATTGGAGAGCCCCTCCCCCACCACATGTTCCAATGTAATTGGTTTTCTTTGTAACCTTATTATTCCATTTTATATATTTAAGTAGAAATATTTTGAAAATATTATTTATTTATTTAAATGTTCTTTTCTTTTTAAGTTTTGAGTTCCAAATTCTCTCCTTACCTCTCACCTCTCCCTTACTCACAGAGAAGGCAAGTGATATGATATCAATTATACATGTTAAGTCATGTAAAACGTATTTCCATATTGCAAAAAAAAAAGCCAAAAAAAAGTGAGAGAAGTAGACTTTAATTTGCATCAGAGTTCATCAGTTGTCTCTCTGGAGGCAGATAGCATTTTTTCATCATGAGTCTTAAAATATTACTCTGAGAAAGGGGCCATAAACTTCATCAGCCTCTCCAGTGGGTCACACATAGTGGCTAAGAGCCCCTGGTTTAGATTATAGACTCTTCTCCCTCTCAGGGTTTTCTCTGCTGTTTTCTCCCCATCTAATGAGAGAATGAGGGTCAGAGCCCTGTAGGTGGGGGTGGGGAATGGTGAGGACGAGTAACTCACACAGAGAAGTCACAGCTGAGAGGGCAACAGTCAAGGCCAGAACCAAGAGAGCCAGGGCAGTGTAGATGATCCTTGGTTTTCTGTGGGCTGGACAAAGGAAAGAGAGGACAGAGTCCTTAGAAAGGCCTGGGGAGAAGGTCTTTGAATCAAGAGCCATGGGTAAGCCATGTAAAGCAAACATTAATGTTTCATAGAAATGCCAGTTACTTTTGCTATTACTGTTAGCTTCCAGCTTGGGGATAATTGCATTCCTTGAGCCTTCTACTGAACTTCTGCTGTGCTCAAGCATTGTTTTTAGAGCAGTACAGGGGTGTGGCAGTAAATGTTTAACAACCAGGCTCTGGTTGTTTTTTGTTTTTTGTTTTTTATTGGGCGGGGTGTGTAAATGTATACACCCACTTTTAATTTTAATCTGCATTATTCAGATTATTTTTAAGTGTAGCCAATCAACGAAGCAATCAGTCAAGCCCTGATTTGTGGGTCTCTGAGGCATCAACTTACAGCGAAAATAAAACAGTCAACTTGGAAGGAATTAGAGTCAGAGCCAGCCTACCCAGCCTGCACCGGATAGATTCAGGGATGTTCTTAGAGGTCATGGGGACCAACCCTGCTTTTACAGATGAAAAAGCCGAGTCCCAGCAAAGGGAAATACCTTGCTCAAGGCCACACAGGCGGTCACTGAGAAAGGAGGTGTTTGAAGAGGTGTTTTATTCAAATCCAGTGTTCCCTCCATTGTATCATAATCTCTCTAGCACAGGCCTGGGATCTAGGCCCTAGCCCTTCCAAAGGTGTTTCCTATTCATATATATAGGCTGCTTATTTACATGTAGGGGATACAATCCCATTAAATAAATCTCCTCATGTCTTTCCTCTGCTCAAAATTTTCAGGAGCCCTGTTGCCTCCTAGGTCAAGACGTTAATTGCTCTTCCTAGGCTTTACACCATGTCACCAACCCTTCATATCCTCTCCATTCTGGGTCCCCAGGTCTGAAAGCCAGCTTTCGCCTTATCATGTCAGAGCCAAGGCCTCCAGACACTTCCAGAATTGGAATCCTCCTTCCACCCTCCCAATTCCCCTTTATGTCACCTCTGTCTCTTTCTCTGCCTCTTTCTTTCTGTGTCTCACTCTTTCTCTGTCTCTCCCCCTTTCTGCTTTTCTCCCTCTCTGTCTCATTCTCTGTCTCTCATTCTGTCTTATTCTCTGTCTCTCTCTCTCTCTGTCTCTCTCCTTCCCTTGCCCCTCTCTCTTTCTTTCCTTCTCTGTCTCTCTGTCTTTCTTTCTCCTTTCCACTCTCTATTTGCTGACATGAAGTGTTATGAGTCACAGATGAGGTTGTCATCTATCTCTCCGATGACTCACTCACTCACAACTTCAGACTCTTGGCATGTACCAGGGAAGGGAGGGATGGACAGAAAACAAGCGAGTCAGTGGATTTCCAGATCTGGCTCTGTTTATCTCTAGCAAGGATTCCTTTGTAGCCTTGAGGCAGAAAGGCAAGGCAAGGCCCAAACCACCAGCCTTGTGGGACCTTCCTCATGGGAAAGCAAAGAGAATGGGAGCAGATGGAGACCTTCAAGGCAGGTCAAGCACCTGATTCCCTAGGTGGCCCAGGGCAAATCACCCAGGACTCTGCAATCTCAGCCTATGATCACAGCACCTCCTTTGAATAAATGCCATCACAAGGAAAAGAGGAAAAGCTAGTGGCCAGAGGCCAGGCTCTAGGGTCAGATGACCTGGGTTCTATTTTGACCCCAAAAGCTGTGTGGCTTTGGGTCAGTCTCCATGGCCCAGTTCCCTCACCCATCTGATAAGGGGGTTGGATTAGATGGCCTCTGAAAATCCTTCTAGCTCTCTGTCTATAATAAGGAAACCTCTGTGAGTACTAGAGCAGCTTGGTGATGCCTCTCTCAGCTCTTCACTAGACTCTAAGACCAAGCCCAAGGCCTAAGTGAAGGTAAAGGCCAAAGAAGATCCAGACTCTTTATGCTTCTTTTTCCCAAGGGGCAAGTCTAGAGCCCAGCTGCCAGGGTCTGGTTCCCTCAGCAGCTCACAGAGTCGACCCAAACATCCATCCATCCATCCATCCATCCATCCACCCATTTCTCCATCCATCTATTGGCCTGTCCATCCATCCATCCATCTGCTCCCTCATTCTCACTTACTGAAAACAGAGTTCTGACCTAGGTTGTAGTCATGCTGAGATAGACCTGAGGAAAGAAAGAAAACAAGCTGGTCAGGGGATTCCTTGACCCGAGCTTCACCTGCTTCCAGCAAGAAACTCTCACTTGCATTCATGCCCCTCCTCTGGACAATCCCCCCTTTTCTAAAAACTCAATTTTTGAAAGGTTGGGTTTTTTCCCTTTGTAACAGATATTTGCAGTGTATATCATCTCTACAAGGAAGCAACATCTATGATAATGATAATGATAATAATAAGTCATAGTAACAATAGTAGCAGTAATATTGATAACAGTAATGGAGGGACCGGCAAACCGATCAGTTTCCTCACCCGTCCAAAATGGAGGTTGGCATAGGTGGCCTTTGAGAACTTTTGTAGCTCTAGTTCTGTGATAAGAAAGCCTCAATTAAAGGCATGATTAAATAAATGAAATGAAATGGGAGGGAGGGAGAGGATTGGCATAACTCCAGGAGCTAAGCTTGCATTCTGTGTCTGTGAAATAAACTGCACCTTACTCCCCACTCCAGCATAGAGAGCCTAGGGGAAGCAAGGTGGAAAATGTGAGTAGCTCTCATTAAAAGGATTCTCCCCCTTCATTTCATTAATCCATTTGCTTGTGTTAGGTGTGTTTGCTATGAACTTAGCCGCCAAGGCCCAGAAGATAAAGACTGTGGAATTGCTTCAGACATGTCTGGAGAGCCAGGGAGAATCTTGTGACTGAAAGAAAATTTGATTTTTGATCATGTAACACCTATATACTTACAAAGTACAAATTAGTCTCTAGCCTAGAGTTGGAAGTGAGAGGATTATAGGAACAAATCTTCCCTTTCTAGAGCAGCACCCAGTCTAGGCTCACTCTCCCAACTCCCCACTCTCACTGGCAGGTTGGGTTCCCAGAGGGTGGCTAACTCATTCTGCAGTGATGATACTGAGGAGTTCAGTTTCAGTACTGCCACTCACAAGCCCCTGCCCATTTGCTTCCCATTAACTATCAGACAGGGCTAAGTAGCTTTAAGAAATGGATGTTTACAAAGGTGGTTAAGTAAAAACAGTTGGTACAAAATGTTCTCCCTTCCCCAAAGTCTGGGATATACTCTTCCACAGAGCATAAGGGAAGGAGAGGAGGTGATTAAGCTTAGGTTATGTTGATAGTGAGCCAACATGTGTGACCAAAGGATAAAATCATAACTCCTGGTTACTGGAAGTTCTTTCTTGAATCTACAGTCAGGTGTCACAAGCTGTGAAGCTGCTTCTTCCTTTAGGTGTGTATCTTTCTGCATCCATCTATGTCTGTGCTTTTCCATGTTTAAGTCTCTCTGCTCCAAGTTGGATGTACTATTGGTCTCCTCTCTACTGACATCATCAATGGAAGGAAAGGGGAGGAGAAAGAGGGAGAAACTTTTTTTCTCTCCCTAAAAAAGGGTTGCCTGTCAGAGGTATTTTTCAGACTAGAATCCTCAATTTCAGAAGTGAAATTGGCTGGAGCTTAATGGATTGAACATTAATCACCAATAGACTAACTGTTATTTTATACAAAGACTCAGTGAATATTACTTTCTTTCTTGCCCCAGTGAAGAGCTACAGACCTGATGAAGAGATCACAAGATATAAACTATCTTGTTTAGATATTTAAAAGCTCGTCACACTTGCTTGCTTCCTTGATTAATTGGAGTGAGGGTGTGTGTGGAGGAACTCTACCCTTATACCTGACTATCAGGGAGAATGAAATGTTCCTTTAAGAAAAGGCAAGAAACAAAAGAAAAAGAAGGCAAGGAGGCAGAGGGAAATGTTCTGTTTGCAATTTATAACCTTGCTACTTCCTGCCTTCCTAGTCTTCTTATACCTTCTATCCTATTGTGTCCTCTTGGATCCTGTGATGCTGGCCCCCTCCCAGGTCTGGGCGTTTTCTCTGGCGGTTTCCCCATGCCTAGAATGCTCTTCCTCTTTTGCTCTGACTACTGACTGCCGTGGCTTCCTTCCCAACTAAACCCCCCTCTTCTTTAGGAAGACTTCCTCAACTCCAGTGCCTTCTGTCAGTTAATTATTTCTTATTTATCCTGTATATAGCTTGCTTTGTCTATGTTTCCATATTCTCTCCCTCATTAGACTGCAAACTCCTTGAGGGCAGGGACTGTCTTTGGCCTCTTGGTATCCACAGTACTTAGTGTAGTACCTGGCACATAGTAAACACTTAATTAATGTTTATTGGCTGGTTGAATTCTAACCTGTACAACAAGGGTAGAGGGTGAGAGATATGACATAGAGAAGGATAGAGAAGAATAGAAAGTCTTGAACTCTCAGAACTAAGGAAAACATCCAAGGCTTTTTCTGCAGAGAAGAGGAGCTGGATTTTTTTCTGTAGGAAGCTATTTCTTATGCTTGTGATGATGTGGAATCACAAATGTCATCAGATGAGTAAGTATCCAATAATGGTGAAAGGGAGATTAGATGAGCAGCAGTGGCTACGGTCCCCATTCTGAGGAGTGCTGGGGTGGCTATATTTTTAACCTCACATAAGCAGCAGAGGGGTGTCTTTTCTTCCCAAGTATCTGGGTCATGATAAAAAGCTTTTGGAGGTCCATCAAATTTAACAACTGTTGTCTATTTAAGAGTGTTTCACACAGTAACAAAATAATACCACCAGAAGGAAATGAGAAAGTATTGTTAAGGAAAAAGTGAAGATAGTGGAGTAGCATCCCTTTACTGGCAGCATAGTGAGCTCTCCCTCCCTCAACTCTTCCAAACAAATCTAGGAAGTACACCAGACCAAATTCTGATGGAGAAATTCAAGAAAAAGTCATGATGAGTCATTTTCCCAGGCCAGGTTGGCATACGGATATAGACAGAGAAGTTTGTGGGCACAGAGGAAGAGGTGTGGGCAAAAGCTTGTCTTACAGAGCACTCCAATTCAAGGAAGAGGTGGTGTTCAAGGGCAAGGTCCAATCCCAAGCCCATAGCGGGGCACCTCAACCTTGTGCAGCATGTGGGAGTTGGTGCTATTTGGCAGGTTTGTTGCCCACTACCCAGTTCTAGGTCACAGATCCAGGGTGGATTGAGGAGGGGAACATTTCTGGGATGTGGAGGGGCTGTGGGCTCTAGATTGTGCACCAATAGGAACAAGGTCAGAAGCCAGCAGGAGTCGTAAGGCACAGATCCCAGGAGCAGAGAGAGATCTTGGTTCCAGCTTCTATCCCAGGCTGAAATCTGCAGAAGAATAAACAGAGCAGGAATCCCTGACCAAAGTGGGGCCTGGATTTCCATCCCCCTGAACCAGCAGAACCTCCCAGTTGACTGATAGAGACTGAGTCCAAAAGCAGCATCTACTGCTGTTCAGACCCAAACCCAGGTCAGGAACTTCCAGAACTCAGGCCAGAGGGACAGCAAAAGTTCAACCATGGAGTTAAGAGACCACAAAATGGTAAACACAAATAAAGCATAAGAGACAAGACAAGGATAAATTGCTCATGTTCAAATATGAGGAAATGACATGTGTCTCCCAGGAATGCTCTCATCATAAGGAGTCAGAGAAGGAGTCTAATTAGGTCGGGCCTGTTAGGTCTTGACGATTTAAGAGAAGAATGGAAGGAGAAGCGAAGAGGAATACACTGAGAGGGGCCAGGCAGGTTAAGGAAGGTTAGAGAACAGAATCTCACATTATCATCAGGGTGTGAAAGTAAGGAAATTAGGGCATGGGGAAGCTGCTGATGTGAGAAATGTACTCATGTCTCACTGGAACTGGTCAAAGGAGGGAAGGATGCACATACACCGTACATACCCTTGAGTACAGGAATGTATTTCACTAAACAGGGAAATAGGAAAGGAAAGAGAAAAGGGAGGAGGAGGAATTAGAGGGAGGGTAGATTAAGGGAGGTAAAGCATAATTAAAATAAACCCTAAGGCTGTGCCAGAATATTAATAGCTCTTTCTGAGGTGACAAAGAATTGGAAAATGAAGGGGTATCCATTAACCGGGGAGTACCTGAACAAGTTGTGATATTTAAATGTGATGGAATACTATTGTGTTGTAAGAACTAATGAAGAGGGTGGTTTCAGAGAGACTGGGGAGGAGTCACCCACACTGAATCAGTATGAAGTGAACAGAACTAAGAGATCAGTTTATACAATGGCAACAATATTGTAAAGACTCATTGTAATGACCACCCACAACTCCAGAGGATTCATGAAACAAGCTGCCCACCTCCTGAGAGCAAGGTGAAGGATGCAGAAGTGGAATGAGACACATTTTTTGGACCTGCTCAATGCAGAAATTTGGCTTGACTCTACATGTTTGTAACAGGGGGTTGCTTTTCTTTCATTCCCAATTGGGAAAGGGTGGTTGGGATATAAGGGATAAAAGGTAGATTTTTGCTGATTGAAAACGTGATTTAAAAAAGAAAGTGTTGCTAAGAATTATGAAATTCTGGTAGAGGAAACCAAAGACTTTATGGGCAAAGGTGGTGTTTTCACATGTACTGACTTAATATAGTTAATAAGTATTTATTTGGAACCTACTGTTGGTGTGAGGCACTGTGCTAGGCACTGGGGACACATAGAAAGAATGAAACAATCTGTATTTTAAAAAAATCTTCTGAGAAGGAGAATGTTGGATTCACCAGACTGAGTGCCAAAGGGGTCCAGGACACGGAAAAGGTTGAGAACCCCTAATTTAGAATGTAATGTTTGAGCTCCATTTTAAAGAAAGAGAAAGATTCTGTGAGATGGAGATGAGGAGCAAGCATATTTTAGGTACGTGCGGTAGCCAATGCAAATGAACAGAGATGAAAGATGAAGGGTTGCATGTAAGGAATATAGCAAGGAGGTTGATTTATCTGGCCTACAGAGGACAGGAAGAGGAGGAACATCCAATAAGCTTGAAAAAATAAGTTAGGGCCAGGTTGTGAAGGGCTTTACGAGCTAGACAGAGCTTATGTTTAATCCTGTGAATAATAGAGAGTTCATAATTTATTGAAGGAAGGAAATAAGCATTTATTAAGTGCCTACTATGTACCAGGCACTCCGCTAAGCACTT